AGTGGCAGCACTGTCGTTTTGTGTCTTCTCTTCGTTGTGTGCAGTTTTATATGAAGTTAAAGCGTATTTCATGCTTTTGAACATGGCAATGCGGTAATGATGAATAGGCGATTTGTTGCCCGATTCATCCACGAATTCTTTGTAAGATCCTCAAATTTTAATTCTGGGTCTAGGTAATAATACCCTGGTCTAAGTAATAGTGCCTATATAATATTTTGCAAATTTGTTTATTTGTGAACGCATCCACTATAAAAGAAAACATATTTATCATGGCAGCACATTGAAATAAACTACGTAATTATAAAAATATAGTGCATACAATCATAGAGACATATCATCAGACACAATACAATCATACAATAACATACTTAGTTATTATACGTCAATTTATATAAAAAACTTAGATCGTAAATTGAATCTTTAAGTTTAAAAAACTACTGAGAAAAGTGATACCGGTAACGAAACATTTGACCTAAGCATACAGGGGAGGGACTGAGAAGGACTTCTGGGAACATCTCGAAACTTTTTCTTCGTGTTTTCCTTTTAAAATGTAAAACTTTTTTATCTCAACAACGATATTTCCTTTAGAACTTGCAGCTATTAAAAGTGTTTATGAATAATGCTGTTATTCATAAACTAAATGCAGTTATGCCGGGATTAATTTTTAATATTGGGGTACAAAGAATTTTCTAAGTTTGATGTACGTTGTGTTGTGTTTATACACGATTGGCGCGGTATCTTTTTTTTTGTGAGGGGAATATCATCTCACTGAATAAAATTCCTTCTCCTGCTTTGGGCCGTCGCCGAGGTCGCGGTGCCTCATTGCGCTTACCCTGCAACTCCGGCTGAACATCAGCCCTATAGGGCCTCATCTGTGGTGGTCTATTGGCTCTTTAAGGCGCGCGCGGAATCTTACGATCGGGTCTTCTGGTCGGGAGGGGAGCTAATTGGCGCGGTGTCTGGACAATCAACCGGTCGTATAACATACCGCGGGTTGTTTCCCACACGGAAAAATTCCTTGTGCGATCCCCAAATTGTTTTTTTTGAGTCTGGGGGAGACGTTTATGTGAATTTGTTTATTTGTGAATATACTAATAAGTTATAAACAGAGAAAGAGAAAATATATAGCGGTTGTCTAACAGGCCATCTTTAATCAATACTAACTCTTAATGGTTTTAAACACTATGGAAGAAACATATACCTATCTGGTAACTTATTTTTATTTTAATATTTCTGAATTGTTTCAAAAACCAGCAGGGAGTAACGCATGCGTCGTGTGTCGCGGCATGAATGAGGTTAAAGGTAGACCTATAGTTCTCCCTTCGATTCTGATTCGAGATTTCGGAATCACCGAAATACCTCTATCCTCAAAACCCTTATTCCTCCATGTTGCGGTTGTCGTAGGCCGACGTCGAACGATATGTGATATGTCATGTACGTCTACTTGTTTGCCGACCTATTCCATAAAAAAGGTTTTCTATTGGCAATATTTCTTTCAGAACGTACCTACCGACTTTATATGATTATTTAGACACCACTGATGTACGGTAAAGGAACATATTGCCTTGCCAACCAGCCTTGAGCAAGCGTGGTGATAAATATATGTATAAATAGCTTCACTAGAGGACAGATCGACAGTCAGACACACAAAGATTTTTGATATTTGTTTTTTGTTTGACGTTCAAAAGTGCTTATAGTGGTACATTTAATAAAAATTATTTGACTATTTCTTTGACTTTAATTTTCAAATCTTCTCCGTGTGAGAGAGTCTTAGCTTAGCAGGGGGCACTTATGAGCTGATGGTGTAAATTGGAATATATTAAATTAACACTAAAATTTTCCTCTTAGTGTTACGTATCATGTTAAACTGCCTAGAGGTTCTATTTCAAAGCTTCGGTTCATGTTACTCTATAATTCTGGTGAAATTCTCGTTGCAACGGGAATTCGGGAAGTTCGTTTATGTATTACTGCTTAGCACGGAGCCTGGATTTATGCTCAGTATACGCCATTGAATCTTTCGCCCATAAAGCTGTGAAATTTGGTCTTGTATTTATTTGTAGTAGTATTAGGAATAGGAAAATGTACCTGTTTTTCAAAAATGTTATATTTGTATTAGTATATATCATCTGCAAAATCCGGTCATCGTTATCATTTTTTTATGGTATAGGTCGGCAAACGAGCCGTCAGCGCCGCCCATGGACACACGCAACACTAAAGGAGTTACGTGTTTGTGTTGTCGGCCTATTGGGGATAAGGGTTACGGTTATTTAATGATCGGGAAGAGATGGGGATTGGGGTAGGGATTGGGCCTCCGGTTCCCTCACTTGCACGCTGAAATACAACGCAGTGGCTGTTCCACGCCGATTTTCTGTAAGGCCGTGGTATAACTACAGTCGAGCCGACCCATTTGTGCCGATGTTTGACTCTTCCGTACTTAAAATTTGTACCAATCACACAATATCGAAAATAATTCCAGTTTTAGCCATTGCTTGTTTTACAAGATAATCATTACCTAAATATTAAAAGAATTCAATTAATGATAAAACTTGTAAATATCCAATCGCAGTGCACTTTACATTAATACCATTAAACAAAAATGTAACTAAACCAATTCTGTTTCGGACCAACCTGCTCATTTGCGGACCTTTGTTAAGATAATGATGTCAGTAAATTAAATTTATCAGAATACGGGAATACAGGAAGAAAATAATTTATTTTTTAATGGTTCAACGTCTCTTACGGAATTAATGTTTGACTTTCTTTTTTTTTCATTCATTGAGGGAGTTTCTTGCTCGTTCTTCTCCATCGGAATCTACACTTTGGAACGAGCAAATAGCTTCATTAAGAGGACTGACCGACAGACGGACACTATTTTTTTATTTTATATTTTGTTTGACGTTCAAAAGTGCCTGTAAAGGTCTAATTGGAATAAATGTATTTTTTTTTTTTTTTTTTTTTTTTTATTGAAAGTACGCTATTCTTTTTTTGAAATGTATATTCTAATTGACGTAAACACGATGACGTCATAAGACATCTGACATTACGATAAAAGTATTTAATATGACTAGATGTAATTTACCATATTGTAATATGTTTCCTTTTAGTGAGTAGTTTGTAGCAACAATTTATTATTTTACCCAGAAGGTGTATCGTAGGTACAAAGGCTAGCAGGTCAACTTATACCAATCGCACAATATTTTTATTGAATTTTCGACTTTAAAATCAAACTGATAAAGTTGGAATTCAAATAAGGGAATGTCACGGAAAGGTGTAAGTCGACCTGCAGGCGGTCTGAACATAAGTTCAGAAACCTTGTTGGAACTTGCCCCGACGTATCGTATGAACTATGTGATAAGAACAATCAAGTTCCATGTTTTCCTTACCTCGGTCTGACCTTAACCAAAGGGCAAGGGGCTATAAATGTCTCAAACTTTTCAACTAATGATTAATAAAGTTCAGCCCAATTATTGTTGAAGTTTTCCCGATAATATTTTTCATTGCTAATTGATGGGCCTAATGACAGTTGCGGGTCTTAATCTGTATTATTATTAATAAGTGAAGAGAAATGAGTTCTGTTGTTATAGGATATTTTGTCTTTGGTTTTAGATAGTTCTGTGTGTGTATATTATTCTATATTCAAATGGTACTTCGCGGTTATTCAGAAACAGTGAAACAAGAGCAATTTGAGTGTAATAAAATTATTAATATATTCTCATTGTTTTTATGTGTAATGACAAATCATATCCTCCCTCAATAAAAAATCTTCAAACTCCTTATAACCAGCGATGAAACATTGAAGGCTTACCACAAACTTTTTTCGAAATTTTATATTAAAATATTTCAATAAAAACTTATTTACAGCATTTAGAATTTAAGTATAACTAGCTACTGTCGGCTTCACCAGCTGCTCGGCTCCATTTAATTGTAGCGTGATGTTTAATAAACATACAAATAACAAATAGAATACATATCTAGTGAAAACTACAAATGCGTATTCTGTAATATTTGCCTTTGGGTAATGTAGATAAACTCTTAATAAAATTTGTCTACTCAACATTATTTTTCTGCACTGAAAACTATTCTTTATATAAGTAAAAATATAGTTCTCATTCCCTTCCAATCATGCAACACCGACTACCTATTCGTGATAAACAGGCATTCTGTTCATTTTATCAATGCTACAAGCATGGAGCACTTTCTGACCTGGTTTAGCCACGTTGATCGCGATCACGTGGCTAGTTCAGGAGGAACTCACTCGAGTATATGGCTTAACTTCGACGTTAGTTCAGTTATATTATAAACAATAATTAAATTATCAAAGTTACTCAACTTTGTTGTAGCAAGTGAGTAAGTAATCAATCTACTTTGGCAAGTGTAATGTAAACAAACGCAGTTGTTTTGAGCTTCGGTTTCATGGATTAGGTTGGATTTTAATTTAATTATAATACGAGTATGTATTTCTTATTTAAAATCTTAATATTATGATATCTTCTGCTTCTAAACTAGTTTTAAGATACTTTTATGATTGAAAATTTTAATTTTATTTTCTACTCTTTCATATTATATTTTAAATTTCCTTCTTTGTGATAGGAAATTATCAATCATGGAAATGATTTCTCTCGCCCAGGGTGAGGCAAGAGGGAGTGTCAGACTCTTACTGACTAAACCCCGTTCCCTCTCCTGCTTAAGGCCAGGGCCGCGGTACCTTGTTGCGGTAGCCCCCCAACTCCGGCTAAACATTGGCCTTGTAGGCCCTGTCTGTGGTGGTCTATTAACTCTTTGAGCCGCGCCCAGAGCGCTACGCGCCGTACGCTCGTGTACATTTACAAATCCCCACCCGTTCTGAATGGAACTTATTTAAAAGTAGTAGTTATACTGAACATAATATTTTACAAAATTTGAAATATAAGTATCTTCTTTATAAACATACCAAAGAAAACGCAAGTCAGGTAAAAATGGGTATCTTTTCAACATAACTTACACAGCAAGTATGTTTCTAGAAAGACGGATCCATCAGTAACACGGATTACTTGACGACTTGGCAAGGAATGGAGGAAGCTAAGATGATGAACCTGACCAGGTCCATCGGAGTATCTAACTTCAACATCACACAGATGCAAAGACTTTGGGAGAATTCGATTATCAAACCAGCCGTATTGCAGACTGAGGTAAGATTAACTTTTTTTAATGTCGTAGGTCGGCAAACAAGCAGGCGGATTACCTGGTGGTAAGCAATCAGCGCCGCCCATGGACACTCGTAATACAAAGGAGTAAATACAAGTCCGTTGCCTATCTTTTGTGGGTTATTTAGGGATTTAAGGATGTGAGGATTGGGGGGGGGGGGGGGGGGGGAGATTGGGCCACCTGCAACCTCACTCAGTCGGCGAAATATAATGTACTTAAGTGTTACTTCAATCACTTCGGTCGAGCCGATTTATTTGTGCCGAAGCAAGCCCTTACTTTCGCTTGTTTCTTAATTTAAACTAGTTCTAGGTCACTTAATGATTAGTTTTAACTATTCTTTAGTAAGGACTTTGTTCCAAAAACAATTGCTTAAGACGGGTCAAATTAACATTAACTTTTCAATCTCTGAATGAATCTCTTTATCTGAGAAAGTAAACTCTGTATAGGGTTTAAAAGATGACATATAAAAAACGTCGTTATAAGCAATTTCTCGTTTTTTTAACTCGGTCGAGTAAAAGCTTGTTACAATTTTATTCTAAATTTATAGGTAGGTCTATAAATTGTTAGCCATAGTTTTATATAAAATAATTTATCGCTACGTTTTCAAAGGTTAGCGTTTCGGTTTTTATAAAAACGTTTTCTATTTTCGAACCATGTTTTTTAAGTGAAAATAATATAAAAAATGTATTTTCTATTTCAATGAACTAACGTTATTTCGTTATTCGGTCCATTGTTTTAAATTGTTTGTGACGTTAAGTATAAAAGTACCTACGTTTTTGGATACTTCTAAATTATTTATCTATTTTCTTCACAAGAAAGAACGAATAGGTACAGTTAAGATTAGCAGTCTTTGATGAGATCAATGAAACAATGAATTTATTTTTGTAAATAGGCTATTAAACATTATTTTTCACCATTATATAAAAATCTAATTGAAATATCTAGAGAATGATTACAATATGAAAGACAGACGTATCAACACAAACACACTTTTGTATTTGATATATTTTTTTAATACCAATAAAAATGAATTACCTTATTCATATTATAGTACTATGCGAAAATCTCAAAAATAGTTGAAGTGATTGTGCTAATTAATTTCTTGTTGTGTTTTCTTAGTTTTAGAAGAATGTTTTTTTAATATAAAAAAAATCGGTAGGTGAATAGGAGCTATATAGGATAGGGAGCGTAACCGCAGGCAAAAGTTAGTAATGTAATAAAAGTACGACTCTCTAACATAGGATGTTGGGATCAATACCCTGGTTGGGCAGAATATTATTGTGTTCTTTGCTCTCGAAGCTCTCAGCGCTAGAATGAAGTCGGCATATGCGCTCGTTGTATGGCAATAAGCTAGTTTCTGGATGTTGGCCAAATAGTATGACTGGCGATAAGTGGATTAGCTTTGGACCTTATGCTTTAAGAGGAAACCGCAATGGGTAGCAAGTACTGTACAGTATGAAGCCATGAATTCGATCTCTGATTAGAAAATTGTATTTTTTTGTTAAAATTTGTAATAATAATATAGTATACAATTGTGCAATATTTTAAGAATTTTTCATTAGAATATCTAGGTACCTACTTTTTATGCCGATTCGGTAGTTTCCAACTCGTCAAATTCAATATTTTTATTAAAATTACAAAAATAATACTTTTCTGTGAATTTTGTATATAACGTCATAATCCTTTTAACGCCAAACGCATACTTATATACATAAGAAAAAATCTTAAATAAGTGTATAGTCAAATCGATGAATGAAAGTATGATGAAAATATATTTTAATTATTATTTGTATTGAAAAGTCGAAATAATTTATTTTTGACCTAGGAAACTACCTAATTGTCCAGAGCGGGATCTTTGATGTCATTTCAAATGAAATTTGTTTAAAAAAAGAACACTTTATATTTACCTAGGTAAATCCAACAATCACTCAAAATGAACTCGTGAACTGGTGCCATGAACATGGTGTTGTCGTTATGGGATACAGTCCATTCGGTGCTGTGCTTGGACGCAAGAAGGATGGACCTCAACCAAGAGCTGACCATCCTTTGCTGCAAGGCTTGGCACACAAATATGGCAAGACTGTTCCACAAATACTGCTGCGATATTTGGTAAGTAGAATAAGTATGTATTTATTAATGACTAGCGGCCCGCCCTCGCTTCGCACGGGTCCAACTATCTCGCTATCAAAGGGTCACCTTTTTTCTTATCTTCCCCTCTAGTTTTCTAATATTTTATTTCATAAGAACCTTCTCCTGACAATAAAAAACACAACAAAAAAAGAATTAGCAAAATTGGTCCAGACGTTGTTGAGTTATGCGCTTACCAACACATTTTGCGATCCATTTTTATATATAAAGACTAGCTATTGCCGCGCTGTTTCATTCAATGCTTGGCTTCTATTGGTCGCATCGTGATGTTTTATAGCCTTCCTTGATAAATGGACTAAGATAAAAAAAAGAATCTTATTCAATTTGAACCAGTGGTTCTGGAGATTAGCGCGTTCAAACAAACAAACTGTTCAGCTTTATAACATTAAATAATAATAACTATAGATTCAGAAATATTTATTTAGTACTAGCAGCAGAAGTTGGGGCACCTGCTTCACACGGATCTCCAACTATCTCGCTAACGACGAAAGTGTCCCTACGTGTCAATTTCCCATACTTTAAAAAAAAAAACTTTCGTAAAATCCCTATCCTGACAAAAACAAAAAATTGGTAAAATTGGTCCAGGCGTTGTTAAGTTATGCACTTACCAACACATTTTGCGATTATTTTTTTTATTTATTAAGTAAGAGTGGTTTCGAAACCTCACAAGTTCTAATGTGACTGTTTCCAAGTTATAAGTACTTTCTAAGACTACAATCGCCAATCCACCTTCACTAAGCATATACCTATTATGTATGTGTATAGTGTCACAGTTGTTGGTTTGTATAACACACAAATACACGTGTAGGAACTACCCTAAACTTGCACAACAATTGTATCTCACTCAATGTCGTGTTGTTTACAATATTGTCTGGTCTTGATCAGTCACGAAGTCAATCTTAGAATGATATGACGTCATACTTAATGGACGGAGTAGGAAAAGGTGTACATTTCATTTTAGCTAGAAATGTAACAATTTTTTTTTGCAACTTAGAGGAATTATTTGTCTGGCAACGATAAAATAATTTCTTTAAATCCTTTTATTTTTGAGGAGGGAAAATCATCATATGACTTCTTCCACCTTCGGTAGGGTGAGAGGGAGAGTCAGACTCTTGCTGACTAAAAACCACACTGTTATAATTTCTTCTCCAAGCCAGGACCGAGGTACATATGTTATTGTACCTGGATTTCCTTTGTATCTGTAATTTGGAAGGGTATATGTAACAAGGACCATTCTTAACATTCCCTTTTGTGTTTTATTATTACTTTAAAGATGTATCTTTAGCAGAAATAACTTGTAGAGAAGGAACAGAGTGGGTTTTAGTCATAAGACTGACACTCTCTCTCGCTCCACCGGCAGGAGATGTTATTTGGTGCGAGCGAGAGGCATTTGATCAGTGAGAAGATCACCCCATGGTAAGCAATCAGCGCCAGAAATGAACGTCCGCAGCACCTGAGGAGTTACAAGTTCTTTGCCGCCGTTTTTTGTAACGGATTTAAGAATTGGAGATTTGGGAGAGTGAGAGTTAAGCGTCTCATATAATAGAGAGTAAGTCTGAGATGCCAGCCAGCGCTATGATTTTTTATAAGAAATTTTCGAAAGATCCAAAAAAGAATTGAAGCCGTAAACACTTGCTCCGTCGTCGCACTCGACCAACGATATCGGTCGGTACGAAACTTTAAATTGCCGTATTAGCACTAAGGCTTCATTGAAAAAAGGTGCAGTGTGCCAAAACCTCTATCCAGTCTGGTCTGGTCGAAAGAAAACATTAAGGATAAAGACGCATATCCAAGTATTTAACTAAATAAATTTTTAACTTTATTGTAACTCAATAAGGTTGGAAGTCTATTCAAACTGGCTGGTTGAACATACATACCTTTAAAAAATTACAGCCGTGTTTTTTATAACGATAAAACCTCAACACAAACTGCCAGTCTCGTTTTATATATTTGTATACATTTATTTTATATTACAAATATGAATTTAAAATGAGAATAAAAAAAACATTCTACGTTAGTCAATTTTTTTGCTGTACAAAAATTCTGTATAATATAAAATAATAATATGTTATTGGACAATACTTTTTATTAGATACGTTTTATACGCTAATTTAAATCAAATAAACAATCCAAATAAATAAATGCTTTAATATTTTCATTTTAAATACGTTAAATGTTCATTTTAAAACTAAAACTGAAGATTCCTGACTACCTAAATATGTAGTTTATTTTAGTATAAAAAATCGCAGTAATCTGGATGATAAAAAAAAGAATCTACATATAACTGACCCTAAAAATGAAATAAATCAAATTGACATTTAAAGGCACTGACAGGTGACAAGCCTAATTCCCCCGATTCTTACCCTATAATCGGCATACGAAATCCCTTTACCCCATTTACCGTGACTATCCCTTCCTCACCTTTGACGAGGTGACAGGTCCAAATACGTGTCAACAGCACTTTCAACTTGTTTAATTTAAACCCTAAAGTTGGGTTCCCCAATTGGCTTTGATTGCGTCTGTGACTTGAAAATCGTATACATTTATTAAAGCGATCCGTTTGTGGAGTTATATTGCTTGTGTTTACACGGAGGTGTGATTAGGGATTAGGTGTAGGGTTATGATAAATTGTATTGATAAGCGTTTCGTATGGTCTTGTAGGTTTGGTTTTTTCTTTTTATGTGATCGGTTGGTTAGCGAGCAGACGGATTACATACTGGTATGCAATCGAAGCCTCCCAACGCCGTTGGTGCCACCATTTGTTGTTACGATTGATGGAAACTCGCTAATAAGTGTGTTACCGACCTTTTGTGGGTTGTTAGGGATTTAACGATTGAGAATTTGTTGGGTTCCCGCTAACCTTACTCAGACAGTGAAACACAACGTAAATGTTGTTTCACGCTAGTATTCTGTGAAGACGTGGTATCACTTTGTTTGATACGGCCATGGCCCTCCCTCACATACCTAAAAGTTAAAGAAAGAAGAAAGGAAGAAAAAACTTTATTTCTCACGCTAAAACATGTGACACATAAGGTTCTGTACATACAGGTTATAGACTACCTACCTACGTTACTAGTGTCCCAAAGTCTGCGGTAAAATGGGACCAGTTCAGCATGTGCAAGACAGGGCCTTCCGCTGGTATTCTACTAGCCCGTTAAGTGACTCGCGGACGAACAAGCCACCGTCGTTAGAGTACATATTTTGTTTCTTTATGAAGTAGTGGGGTAAATGAGCCGGGTCTCTGATGGCGAACAATTGACAGCGCTGATGGAAACCTGCAACACTACAGAGTTACAAGTACACACACTCGCGCAGCATCTCACTGTAGTGTTTGTATCTCCAAAAAGGTCATACTAACATTGTCTCATGTACACTAGTATAGCTGTCAATCTGTCACTTCTGTCAGTCTGTCACTGACACTGGTTAAGGTTGGACTAGTGCTGCTTGTGATACAAGTGTAGTGATGAGCCAGTGCATTACCGGTTTTACTGTAAAGACAAGGGTCCTTACACTCACCTACCGAGACATAATGCTAGTGTGGACTCATGCCAGTTCTTTGTGACGCTTAGGTCAGTCCGGCCGATTTATGCTGAATAATGGGTCCCCTTTACTTATTTTATAGTGAAATATGTAGCTATTTGTTGATTTTCGATGATTATGATTAAGAAAACAGTCTCTATTTGATCACTTAACTGCACAATAAGCAAGCACCTTCGCTTCTGTTAATGAATTTTGTACTTTCTATCTAATTCTTTTTTTGAGGCGGAATATTATCAAATCTCTATCGCCCGTGGTGAGGCGAGAGGGAGTTTCAGACTCTTACTAATTCATAATCACTGAAGAAAAGTGAAACATAATGATTTGCCGTCATGGTTTCCGTGAAAATCAGCGTGAAAGGGTAGCGAAAATGCATTTGGAAAAGATTCATTAATGTCAAAAAATGTCGTCAAAACTTTTTGCAGCCGTTTTGTTTTTCTTCTTCTACAACTAATAAAAGAACAAGGAAGTCAACTTTTCGTCTCAATATACATAAATAGTGTGTTTCAAAAAAGATTACAATGCAATAAATCATAATTTTATACCTTGTTTGTATGGTCGCGTTTATCTAGAACAAAGTTCCCTTCTTCCCTTGATGGTAGTTTTCGCTTTTTACGGCAATTTAGTTTCTTTCAACAGACGCTTGAACTAAAAGAATAAATGTCTACTGCCGTCTTCAAATTACTCGAGGTTTTTCATTGTTGAACTACATAATATCTTAAGAGTCTTATTTATTCTGATTGTTGTAAAAGAGAATATTATTTGTAGATAATTTAAGATGTGGAAGACCCAAGCTACTTAAGTGTCGAAGAGACATGACTGTTTTAGCACGAATTGGTCCGCTTAACCGGAGTGATACCACGGCCTCACAGTAAACCGGCGTGAAAAAACCACAGAGTTGTGTCTCGAAGTGAGTGGGGTTACCGGATGCCCAATCCCTCTCTCTCCACCATCCCATCCTAATCCGCAACACGTACCCCCAAAAGGCCGGCAACACACTTATAACTCCTTTGGTGTTGTAGGTGTCCATGGGCGGCGCTGATTGCTTACCATTAGGTACTCCGTCTGCTAGTTTAAAGACCTATCTCATAAAAAAAGATTGCTTTCACAGTTAATATTACGCTGGACTAAATTGATGTTTGGTCACAGTTAATAATATAAAATAATATTTCAGGCAAAATATTTCTCATACTTTTCTCGTTTTATTATTTATTTTTCTTTTTTTACAGTTGGATCGCAATATTGTTGCCATACCCCGATCAACGAACGAGCAACGCATCAAACAAAATATAGACATACTAGACTTCAGCCTAAAACCTGACGAAGTACAAGAATTATCAAACTTCAATGTCAACTACAGACTAAGAACTCCTGTGAAATGGTACGACCATCTATATTTTCCTTTTGAAAAAAAGAACCTTACTAAGGCGGAAATTAAGTACCTTATTGAACACAGCAAAGAACATTGATACATTTGCAATTAAATGAAACTTTAAAATACTGTTTTAGTTTTGAAACAAAAAAGGTTTGATCTTTTTCTTTTGAGCAATATCTGGAACAAAACTTCATGGATGTAACAGAAAAATTCTTATGAATTTATTATTTATTTTTTGTGGAAAACAATAATAAATCTGCAGTTTTTTCATCCAAATATATTATTTTGTTTTATTTTCTCGACCCAAAAAACCATACTGGATTATTTTTACGCAGATTTAAAAAAAGTAAAGCTGAAATGTCGTCGTAGTTGGAGGCAAGGTTCGCTTTTAATGCGCAAGGGCGTTGATTTAAAACCTGATAAGCTAAAGGTATCGGATACTTAGAAAACATCTTGAGGCAACCTGGACTAATACTTTCTTACTATGGATGTGGGATAGCCATGCTTCGGCACGAATGGGTTGGCTCGACCGGAGTGATACCACGGCCTCACAGAAAACCGGCGTGAAATAACCACAGCGTTGTGTTTCGCCGTGTGAGTAAGGTTACCGGAGGCCCAATCCTTCCCCTCCCCCAATCCCTCCTAAATCCCTAATCCCTAATCCCTAAAAGGTCGGCAACGCACTCGTAACTCCTCCGTTGCGAGTGTCCATGGGCGGCGCTGATTGCTTACCATCAGGTAATCTGTCGGCTCGTTTGCCGACCTATTAAATAAAAAAAAAGAAGATCTCTAAATTCACCAACGAATTGAAACCTGAGAGGATCAAATGCAGAAGTTAACACTAAAAACTCTTTAGAAAACTTCTTAAAAATACTCACACAGACGTTCAATGCTTTTCAATCGTCATTCTCTTCAACAAAGATAATTATCGAACGTTAACTAAAAATATGAAACCTAGGTTTTTTTTCAAAATGGAATTAAGCCTACCATCTCTGTTTTATAAAGTCCTTTTATTTAACATCCTTATAATTTATTACTTTCCCTTTTATCAGAGAAACCACTTCCGAGCACAAAGTTCAGTAATAATCTAATTTGATTCATTTCTAATAGGAACTTTTTAAGCTTTTTGTTTTTTGTTCTTTATGTTTTTATTTCATAAAAAATACTATTTATTGTTGAGTCTTTCACTCAAAATTTTGATCTTTTATTTTAGTATTTCAACTGATCTTGGATAAAGTACGACATATTACTCATAGTGTAAGAAGCTTTTCGAATAAGCGGTTCGTTTTGTGCGGCCTAAAATGATTAATGATAAACCAATTGTTACTGTTAAAATGATTTTTGTTTCAATTTGAAAGAATTAATTTAATATAACATCTTATTTTATATAACAATTTTAAATTAAATTAACGTTATAATTTTGTAATTTAAATTAAAATTCGTAAATTAATAAATACAAATCTATAAATAAAACAAAAATTGACAACGTAAATTTTGGGGCATTTTATTTAATACATTAAATTTATCAATTAAATGTAGACCTAGGAAACATCACAATTCGAAGCATCTATCAGAGATTTACCGATCAAATAATTTATGAAGTGAAATTAATTCTGCGTCGTCGAATCGGTTTAGCTTCAAACTTGAAATTAACCGGTTGAGCGTTGCGGAGCGGAAAACGTTTCCAATAATTAAATAGCTACCCACCTTATCTCATCTCAAAGGAGTTGTGTTAGCCTTTTTAATCTCCTTAGTATTATGTAATTGAATTCTTTTAACCGCGAGTATAAAGGGAATACCGTCGCTTTTATCTGAAGCCCCGGCCTTTCGGATCACCTAATTGATTTGTACTCGGCTTTGTTGTTATTTACGTTATAATGTTAATCCAACTAATCTGGTGGCGTGAGCAATAGTTTGTTACCCCATTACTGGGTGTAATCTAATCACGTGACTAATGTTGTTGTATCCGTTGTCGATGTTCAATTGTTCAGCGTTTGGGTCGCTGCAAACATGTTTGGATTGCGATGATAATAATAAAACATTTGATAAGTAGGCTCCATATTCATTAACTTTTCATACTTATTAAGTGAAGGAGTCAAAGACATAAATCAAACAAAGAGCTCTCCAGATAAAACAAAGTGATTAATGCTCAGCCGAGGTCTAGGATGATACGACCCCAATTCTATTATTTGACTCTAAACAACATTAGCGAACGACTGTAAGGGAAATTACAAGAATAAAGAAACAAAAACTTGAAGTCATTACGAACGAAGAAATATATTTTTCGTTTCTCATTGTTTTTCTGTGTCAATGGTTTGTTAGTAATTTCAACCATTATAAGCTCTTGGTATTTCCCAAAGTAAGCGCTAAGCGTCGCTACGGCACGTCATTAGAAATCATTACGGTACGAAGACTGGTATCTTTAAGTGCCATTAAATGAAAATGTCCTAAAATTATGGGCACTTAGTGCAAGGAGCCATTCTGTAGAGGCTATTTCCATTGCTCTGGAGCACATAAGTTCATAGGTATTTATTCAATGAAATATGTAACGGTCGAATTTCACAGTGGATATTTTATTTCAACACATGGCCGCTGATAACATCGTTTGTTGTACCCGTATTGTTGTTATCCATTGCGTAATAATAATCATCGGTTTAGGTAGATATTTCAGTCCAAACAACCACGTCGGCATTATGGCAATGGTAGCCGCATGAATGAGCCTTTATAATGTAATGGCCGTACAGTGTTGGCGCAGCTATCAATTCGAAGCTTTATCATTGAATGCATACTGGTTGCTTGTTTTTTGCGAGTGGCTTATTTATGAGAAAAGTTAGGGGGAGGTTTGGCCGGTCCTAACATAAATTAGGTGCGGTGACACGGACTAATTGGCGTCATTATGTGCGCGGACGGACGGCGCAGCGCTAGCGGTGGCGGGCGCACGTCTGCCGCGTTAGCTTCGCCTCTATTTCCAAAGATCCGCTTTTCTACTCTATCCCAAACGCTTAATTAGACAAAGGTACATGCAGTTCTTGTCTCTTATTTACAAAGGCGTATGATTAGCTTCACATTCGAAAACTTGTCGAACAAACCGCCTTGTAACTTATGAATGTCCTCGTAATTTGGTCGTTATTTAAACGGGGAATGCTATTGACTGCTTTATGCCGATCAATTAGAAGTTTCTTGTGGGGGTAATCGGTGGGGTTAGGTTAGTATCGGTATTTTCTCCGGTATTTTATGTGTACGTGAGCGACGGTGAGCCGGACTAATGGTGGGCGGTGTGTATAAATGTGCGAGATCAACGCGGCCGGCGCGCCGCTTAGCAGACAAGTTACGCGGTCAACGCACACTAATTACGCGTCGAATCGAATACTGTTGAAAAAAGTCGCATCAATCAAAAGGGCGACGAAAACAAAATTACTTTTCAAAGTCGTTACGACGCAGACGACGGACTCCGTTGTTTTAATCACAAAAGAGATAGAGTTACTTTTATTATACTGAGGGGTTGTTTCCCGTTCGCCGTTGTCTTTACGTCAACTACTCAAAATTCAGGAAGCCTTTTGTTGTTGTGGAGGCTTCTATTCAAGATTTGCAAGACAGTGGATCCCGGTGATGTCAGTTGGAATATTAACAAGGGACGCGACGTCGGCCGGCGTCTCCTGACAATCCTTTAAGCGTCCAAACATAACGGCGCGCGGCGTGTACGAGGACGCTCGGACGGTGTCAATACTGATCTTTTGAATACCGATACTGATAATGTACCGGAAACACGTCGACAACTACGTTCACAATCTCTTATCGAATGTGTTGTTTTAAACACTAAACAATACAGCCCCATGGATGGTACCAATTCTTGTGCTCTACTTTAGAGAAACGTCAATGTAATTTAAGATATAATGTAGGTATACTTACCTAGGTACCAAGTTGAATAAGGTTAAAATTTTGAGTACATTTCCAACTAATAACTTAAATTAAGTATGCTACTAAAGGTGGGTGTCACTAAAACATTTATGAAGTTAAGAAGTTAGTAGGCATAATCCAATAAAACTAAAGAATGGGATGTTCTAGACTAGTTGAACCAAACGGCGTATAAAGTTGGGGGATATTTGTATTCATATCTACAGCTGACTGGGTTGTCTGGAGACTGAGTATCTTGACTACCTCATGCAACTTCATGAATTTGTAACATCCATCTTATTTGTTTTCAAAGATACTTGTAAATAAAGTTAGTTCTCTCGAGTCCAAAAGCCAGTATAGTAACATAAATCCATCCTTTTAAGTTGAATCACGTTCTGCAAATGTTTGCCGATGGAACACACGACGGGGCCACATAATAGAAAGACAAACGTATTGGAACTTTGGCTTTAAAATCAATTTTATAACATTTTGATGATAAATTTAACGCAAAGAGGGGATTAACGTTATTGTTGTTGTCAGCGAATGGAAAAATAATAAACTTGTAATGGCGACGGAAAGTTTTGTCAATATCTTTCGAATTATGAGTTGAGTTTAAAGGAGATGGAGAAGTTAAGTAAATACTTAACTAGTCTTTATACGAGTTATAAAGACTATGAAATTTGATGTGCAATATAGAAAGGTTTTATTATACCTACCTATTTGAAGTATATACATATATACTGGTAGTTTATTAGTTTATGCTAAACTTCACGGTGTTTAATTAATTCAAATGTAGATAGATTAATGTCTGTGAAAAATAAAATCAAAGATCATATGATAAAAATACCTAACTAATATAAATCTTAACTTAAGACCTTGTGATGAATCTAACCTTGAGTGTAAGAGTATTATTTTAATGTGTTATCATATACTTTTTAAAGTCATGTAATGGTTGTATATGTTGAACTTCACTGGGCAAATGATATTTAATTCTATGAAAAATAATACTAATTCAGAACTTACGAGAACCTAACAAAAAACATTAAAGAACAAAATGTGTGTCATATTAACCAGTGGCAACATTAACCGTGTAAGTTAGTATAGAACATACTTTATTAAAATATTAACAGCTAGGTAAGAAGTACATACGGCCTAATCCAACAAAGACATCACAGTCTCCTTACCTTCAAGCTTGCTCGCTTTGTTTT